GCTAATATCTCCAAAGTCAAAAAAATTTGAAAATGCATAACAAAATTTGTTTAAAAGTTATTTTTTAGATTTTTAGATCGTTTAGGTTGATTACATTGTTTAGATTGTGTTAGATTAATAGATTGTTTTTAGAAAGTATGTTTTTACTCTGAAAATTCTGTTTGCAGTAAAATTGTTAAATAAATGAAATTTAAAATTGTAATTGCACTGTTTCCTTTAAGGGCATATTTCTTGCTAATAAACGATTGCTCTTAATTTAGTTTATTAGTGAGGTTGAAACTTTTAAACAATTTTTTTATGCATTTACAAATTTAAATGCCTGTTTATTGAAAACGGTTGGCTTTAAAGCTTTTAGGCTAAAGTGAAATACACGGTGGTACAAAAAAGTTTTGGCAGTTTAAATGCGCCCTAATGGTCGCTTGTGGTGCCCCGCCCTCTACAAGATACAACGAAAGCGTTGGTAAATTCGAATTTCTTATCCCAAAAGTCCCCGGATACGGAATTTCACGAAATTAGGTGGAAGCAGTCGAAAGATATTAAAGAAAATGTTATTTATTTTTTCAATTTTGACACACTGTAGCTTCGTTAAAATCAATTTTTGGACTAAGGCAAGTTTAGATAAATCGACTTATTTTGAGCCGTACCGTAATCTGATGAAGCGTTGTACATATCCTATAGAGACACGATGCCCCAGAAATAAGTGCCAAAATTAGACATACAGGGTCGAAAAGTACCGATGGTCCATCTGCCGTTACGTGATAGCGATAAAGTAAGTAATAGAAATCCGTGCGATAGAGAAAGATGGCTATAATGAAGGCGTCTAATAGTCACCGACCATTTCGCCATTCCACAAATAAGAAGTGGATCTTATTTGTGGAAGGGCGAAAAGGGCGGTGACTATGAGACGCCTTTATTATAGCCATCCTTCTCTATCGCATGGATTTCTATGTCTTACTTTATCGCTCTCACGTAACGGCAGATGGACCATCGGTGTTTTCCAAACCTGTATATGGCCGACTAAGGATTCCATTTAAAAAATTACTACTTACTTATATTTGTAATTCGAAAATGTTAGAGATCCTATGCAAAAAGATGTTAATATTTCAGAAAAGAACAGCAACTTTATGTCTTTAATAATAATGGAGATAGTCAAGCGTGACATCGAAAATGGGATGCGCTGTACAATATAGGTAATAACACAATTACGACGTAGTCTTTGACCTAATTATGCTGAGGAGGGAAAAGTGGAAGAATAGGAGAAGAAACTTGAAAACATCCCCGTTTTCATGTATCCCCATTGTTTGGCCCCACATAAAAATTGTACTCGATGCAGGCGTAAAGCCCATTCACGGCACTCGGTGAGTTTTCCAATATAAAAAAAACTGGAGAAAGATTATTTAGGTGAGAGCGCCTCCCGCTGCAAAAGCGGCTTTACGCAGAGACCCGATAAAGCGTGGGAGGTGGGACTCCACGGAGCACTCGCCAACTCCTAATACACTTTTAACCGTGCATTACAATAACACCGCGTATTGATTGCAACTAGATGAGATTTTTATACTTTATGGCCCCATAAAAAGTCATTTCAAAATGGCGTCCATCTTTTTTTTATTGCGCTGTTTCCCTTTTCCTTCACCTTAGAAGAGCAGAGGCAATATGTAAGGGACATACATCAGCAATTCCATTTCCGTGAGTTATCACGGACAAGCCCGCCGCCCTTCCTCTTCGCCCTGCGGTGCAACCGGGCGCCGACGTACGTCTGAGCTGAGCGTAAAAGGACGTATATACCCTAGCAACTATACTGCAAGTATATATTAGGTACTCGCTTCTAAAATCGATATGGTTTGTTTTCAGAGGGGAAAAGGGACGTACGTAAGGGCGGAAGAGAAATACGCGTAACGAGGGGTAGGGGGTGAGGGGCAACTGCGTATGGTACGCCATGTTACGAAATGAACCGCACAAAAAACATTTTACACATGAACATTACTAGAACGGGAGTATTTCAGTTTTGTCAATGCCGCCAAACAATGTTCGTGCGTAAACGGGAGTTGTGCCTCAGTGAACCACCCAGCACGTGAGTAGTAGGTAGTTAGTACTTTTCCTACGTACACAGAACCGAATCATTCGCGATCGGACTGTTTGTTGTGCATCTCGAATTCATATTGCATTTCGAACAATAAAAACAAACCATAAATGAGTAGTAAAAAATGGTGCAGACTGTCGGCAGACAAAAACAGACCATGGAGTTAATTATGGCGTTCGCAGAGCACACTTGACAAATTCTGAGAAATATTTGCATACCCGCGTTGGCGTGATGGTGGGAGGGAGGGGGTGACAGGAAGCGTTAATGGTGGGGATGGGGTGAAGATGCACACGGAAATATGCGAACGGCCGTTCGCACATTTACACGATCAGGAAATAAATTTTTCAATTCGGATGAGGGCCGCGCGGAAGGTAGGGGGGGACCACATTAGATAATTTTTGAATTTTGATGGAATTGAAACTGTGAAATAAAAATGAACGGCCCGTAGATTTGGGGATGGTTTTATGACTATTTTATGGATCTATGAATTTTAAAAAAGGAATTCTGCGGTCGGGCGCCGATGGGCGATGATTTGAGAATAATAAGGGATGTTTTGGAAAAATATGCGTAGATATGTAAACAAATGAAAAACTTAAAAAAAATCAGTACGTTTTGAATCATATCTGTATAATTTACAAAAAAAAAGTGACAGATCTAGAAAATAATGTTTTCATGGCTAGAGAAAGAAATATTCAACAAAAAATATTTGCCAATTTGCGATCACTAATAAAGTGTATAAAAACGCACCTTCGTATTTATACAATTATATAGTAACACTTCAGAAAATACAGAAACAAACCTACACGCCAAATTTTTATATATGCCTAATTTCTAAACAAAATGTTCCTATAAACTAATTAATAAACACGTCTTTTTGTAAATTTTATATTGTTGTTTGAAAAATTTCCAATGAATTTTAACCAAATGTTAAATGTAACTGGGATATAATCTGCAAATCATATTATATCTTAATTATCATTTGATAAATGTCGTGTTGTGTCAATGCTGGACTGGGCTTTAGTCCAGAATAGTTGTTTTCTATGATATCATTAGTTAAGTGTAGAATCATTTCTAATTAATACCAAAATCTGTAATTTTTTCAATATACGCAACTATTTTCACCGCATCAGTAGCATTTCAGTTGTTATTAAATAATAAGGAAAATTCGTTACACTTTGGAAAACATTCACTGAAACCTTCATATTTTTTTTGAGTTAATTCAGTATATAACCAAGTATGCCAACTATAATCGAAAAATTACTAAATCTTTTTTTTCATTAATACTTCTAGTACATACTAGAAAATATTCAATTATCAGGTTATTTTGTTTCCTTTGTCAGAATAAGTCCATGTTAAGTTTTTCTATTTTTCTCTATTTATTTGGTTATTTTGACACAATAAAAAAATTAAAAGAATTAATGAAACGCCAAGAAGGACAGTTAATAAAACAAGTTTTGCTTAACAAAAAAGCTCACACTGAAATAAGCAGACAAAACATTTAAAAACTGTCCATACCACGCACTTCAATAAGTTATTAACTATTCAGAAATTAATCTGTCTTCTTTTCGGGACTGTGAATGATGTTTCATTTTTAATGACATAGTTTTGACAGTTTAAATTTGTTTGTTTATCTGCTTTTATAGCTAGAGAAAGCATGTGCTTTATTCTATTACTAATTACTTTATTTAATACTTGTAGCCAACAAGGATCTAAGTTTATAGAATAATTTGAAACACATTTTCCACCCTTTATTAAAATAATAGTTGCCTCTTTTAGTATTATTATTCTTCTCCAAAATTTTGACCTATCCCCATTGAAGTATATGAACTGTTTTCAGTTTTGGAACAACTAAAATAAATTGATTTTCGAAACTTTACCAATTTATTGAAGTATATGATACAGTCATGAGCATTTTTCATTTATATTTTTTTTGCTGTGTGAAGGTAAAAACTATTTTATGAAAATAATTATCTTTTAGGGTTTAATTAATTGATTTTCAATAAATAACAGAATATCCAAATAAATAGAAAAAGAACTAAAACTATGTCACAAATAAGTAATTTCAGACAATATATTTTTTTATGTTTAATGCTCTACATTAAAAAATATTTTGTAGTAGCTACACATAGTATTAAACTTTTCAATTTATTGGTTATTTTATTTATTTGCCTTTGTCAGATTAAACTCATGCAAGATATATCTAATTACTTTAACAAATATTATGTGTTATTGTAAATGAACGAATTTCAAGTACGGATAACTTAAACAAGATTGACCTGTCTATTCTAAAACATTTTAAACTTAACTTTATAATTATTATTATTTACACTTCCTTAATGATTGTTGTTTTTTTATTTTGATAATAAATAATACTTTCATTCATGAAAAACGTAAACAATTCAACAGTTTAGTGATAATTCAATAATTTTGACGATAAGGAAATTCTGTGCCCGAAATAAGTTATAAAAATTATAAAACTGATATAAAAAGAGTAAAATTAATATTTTTGGCGCATAAACACGGCAAATGTGGGGGCGAGCGGCGAGAGAAGTTTAAAACAATCCGGGAAATAAAAAAATCACGCTAGAGTGCGAGCGTAATAGCGAAAATGTGGGTAAGGATAATAGAGGGGCATAAAGCTCAAAAGCTCCGCATAAACAAGTGCGAGCCGTCCGGTAGATGGTAGGTGCGAATCGGAATAGAGGGAAGAATGCATGCTGCAGTGTAATTTGGGCGGACGTACGGACGACCTGTTTTTTCTGATCGGATTCTAGTGTGTAGCAGCCATGATGGTTAAAGTAAGTGCCACCGAGAGCAAGAGCAAGTACTGAGCTCACTCAAATCGTGGTAGGCGGTAAACGCGGGCAGGTCGACGCGCAAGTGTTTTCTGCACGCTCTAAGTAAGCAGGCGGCTGTGGACGTTCGCCGATTGTTTCAACAATTGCAACCGCTGGCCTGCACTCTATTGTTGGCTGTTGTTGTGCATTGTTGTCGCAATTGTTTCGAGTGCAGTGTTATTGTTTTTTGTTGTTTAATATTTGTTTTGTGGTATGTTGATTTTTATGTGCAGTGATTTTATTATATTTGAATTTTTTGTTCAAAAAATATGAGCAGAACTAGGTCGTGAGTAAAACATTTTTTTAAACAATAAAAATATACCCCCAATAAAGAGCAGGACTAATTTATATTTAGCCTCGTTTTTTGCTTGCAGCCCCGCTTGTACAATTCAACCGTGTTTATGCAAAAAATATCCTTATTCGAAATTTGTTTATTAAAGGACAATGTATTTTTTTATATATAGATTGTGTTGTTCATAAGTTAATTTTAATATGACACGTGATGCTATAAATATGAGGATTGTTTTTACATTTTTTGCTTCTTCTAACAGAGATTATTTATTTTTAACTGCAAATTTAAACAGACACGTTTAAATTCGGAAATTCTTTCAAACGTGCGCAATTACTATAAGTACATCGCGCGCGAATTTTTGTTTATTTTTTTAAAGCCTTGAAAAATCGTAGTACAACTATTTATTGATAGTGCTGAAGCTAGGTTGATGTCAAAGCTCTTGGAATAATTGAAGAATTGTTTAAGGCGGTCTAAAAATTGTGTTGTAAAAGTGACGTGTTTGCTTCCGTTATTAAATATCTCATTGAATCAAAATAAGTGCGTAAAGGTACGAAGAAAGAGAGAGGAGATGTTATTAAAAAAGACAACCCCGTGTTCTGTCAGCGCATTGCGTTCAGTTCCGCTCCAAAAGGAATTCGTCATTCTCAATGTTTGATCAATTAAATTGCATTAAACTGCGTATTGATTTTGCAATTATTGGGAACCAATCAGAAATGGACTTTTTTCTTGTACTTCTGTGTGCGCACAAACGTAGTTTTTAACTGGGTTTTTCTATTTTTGCGCATATCCCGAATTTTTTGCCATTGCGCCATTGCCATTGTCCACTTACTAATTTTTAGTGCTGTATTGATTTTATTTATTTTAGAGCTTTGGCAAACTAGAGGTCCGCTACTTCCGATTCACCCTTATGCACGCCGCTTTTTCCGGGACGATTCCCAGCCCCGATAGACTTAGATATGTTCAGTGCATGAATCACTAAATTTTCCGCTGAATTACCCGCTTCCAATTAATAATTATCAATCCACTAATTGATATTTAATTATTTTCGAAATTTCACTAATTTGGGGAGCGACATTGAAGTAAATCTGAAATTAATTGAGCGTGCTCTCGCTTAATATGTTCGAATGTGTTTTTTGTGTAAATTTTCGGATCCCGCTAAACTGGCCGCCGTAATTGTCCGTTAATTGTGGTACATTGTAAGCTTTCTATTTTTAAATAATGCTTCATAAGTAATTGATTGTGCCGCGTTACTAACAATTGGTATTTGTCCGTGGCGATTTGTTTTCGGAGATGCCTGATTTATTGCTTCTCGCTTAAGAAAAATGAACACTTAGAATGAGGATTTAAATAATACACGCATTGTGTTCGTAGAAATTCTACACGCTAAACAAGTCGCTGATTGATATTAAAAATTAATTTTCTTCGGCGTCTCAAAAGCCTCGGGTACATAATAAATAGCTACTAAGTATTCCCAAATAGCCAAACAAGAACGCTAAAAAATAGACATTAAAGTACTTGTATATTAGAAGCTGCCAAAATCAGTGTTAAACCAGTATACTAGTATGAAGATTTGAACTGAATAATTATTATAAACAAACGAGGCTGTCAAGGTCACAAAGTCATTTACTGCCTGTCTGCATTCTTTAAAAAATTGCAAGTAATTCTACAATTCATTTACCTTAATGATAGTAACACGACAAATAGATTGAAATCAATGGAGTCAATCATGCATTCATTGATTTTAACGTATCCATGTTCATACTCGGTGTACTCAAATCAAAGGCATTACAAAAATTGTATTTTGTAAAGTCAAATCATTTATAAATAGTCTGCAGTTCCGTAAAAATTAGGGCATATTGGTGTAAAAATAATCTCAAAGTGCATATTTACAACAAGCGCCATCTGTTTTGTCGTTTCTTGATAGAGGTTAGGGTAGGGAATACTAACATAGTTTTATATACCTATTGCACATACATTAGATTTTCATTACAAACATTGGGCAACGAAAGAGAATTTCTAATAAAAATTTTTGTTATAAACAATAATTCGACATCTATTTCTTTACATTTCTAAAATTACAAGTATTGTTTACAAAGTTTTGACCAGATATTTATTATTCTACACATATTCGATCAGAATCACTTCAATAATCAATTCGAAAGAACCTATAATATTTATATTTTGCAAGTCTTATCGTTTTTTTTTTCTCAATCTTTGAAATATATCTCTAAAGTCTAGCCAACATCTAGTTCAATGCTAGATTTACAATTTTATTAGTACCTATCTGTTGTGCCATCTGTTAAGTAAAATGAGTACCACAATATTGACATTTATTTTAGTTAGACCAATGGAATGAAGAAACTGTTTAAAAATAACTGTCCGCAATAGAGATAGATTATATTTTCTAAATATTTATTGTGAAAAACTGTTTGAAGTACCTAGGTATTAGATCATAATTATTTAAGAGAATGAAATAAATAATCAATCTGATGAAGTAAACATTACATGCGGAAGTACAGGGAATACCCTGACAATTTACACTTACTCCCATTGCAAATCATACTTAGTTTTTGGAATGTGATAATATTATTCTACTAATCCGATTTCCTAGAACCTTACTGTAAAAGCATCCATGTATACCTATTATTTATTTAAATACAACACTGACCATTTGTTTCTTGGAACTTGCGACAAAATATCAGATTGTCAACATAAACTTTCTTTTGACATTTAAACAGAAAAACAATGAGATAAAAATCGCATGAAATATTAATAGTACTAATAGTTTGAAATTTTGCACCTCAAAGTCTGCATTCTTAAATCAACAACTGTCATGATGCATATCGGACAGAAATAAAAACAAGTGTGAATTATTTCTTCGAGAACCTTACAAGATAGTGCACTAAAATGTCATGCAATTATCGTTTAAGTATTTTGTACGAACACGTTATCACAATAAATTAATTATGCAGCTTTTTTTGTAATAAATCTTTAATCTAATAACAGTGTGTGGACATGGCCAACCACCTACATGCCTAGTTTATTTCGGGGTTATTGAAAGAGAAAGTTATTATTTTGCAAAATGTTACTAGATTAAATCATTTAAAATATTAGTCTATTAGTCCAGAATAATACGTAATATAAAGTCTACTATTACCTTAATAATTTTAAGACCCCCGTATAACTTTTATTTAACAATTATCTTTTGCCCAAAGTAACTGTCAAAGATTTATAATTCAATTAATTTCAAATTTTGGTGACTAAAGTGGTCTATAATAAATGGTTGTACTTTAGTTTGCACCTTTGTCTACAGTGCGTGATTACAGTGTTTAGATATTGATGTAATTATTGAAAATTATTATTGTTCCTGAATATTCCAGTAAAAAATATGTTTCTAGAACACTATGTTGAAATAACAGGAAACATTGTAATAATCGACAGTAATATGTATGACGAATATGATAACATCACTGACAAGTTACGTTTTCCGGTATTGAATCTAAAATATTAGAACATCTCCATAACCACCTGCCTGAAAGGAATAACATTGACTTTGATGTTTTAAGAAACGGATTTTGAAGTTTTAGTATGGCCTGCATTTACTAGAATTTAAATTTTTATTATTGATAAGACAGTATCAAGTTTTTAAAGCACAATTTTTGGAAGGATTCTGGTGCTTTGCTTATGCATGATTTAATCACTATAATTTTCTCATACATTTCTGTACAAATTAATATCAATTTCTGACCTACACTAAACAATATCTAAATTAATGATTTTTGAAAAATACCTTAAAGATTCCAATACTTGTAATCATTACTATCTAAATAACCTACAAAAAATATAAATAATTTTAAAGCTGTAAAGTATTAATATCACTTTATTTAATTCATATCTGGTTTATTGCAAAGTTTTGTTAAAAATAGTTCAAATATAGTGAGCGTATATAACAACACATCTTACAATTTAACATTCAACTGCTCCTTGTTGTGAGAAAATATGTTTTGCTTTATAACTTGAGGCGTTTGCTGCAATTATATTTTGGTAACATGACTTAATAAAAATATGATAATTACTGTTAATTAAAACTGTAAGGTAAACAATTATATACCAAAAATTATTCCTCATTATTTCCAGGTAATAAATTTTTTACTTCAGACTTTTAATGGAAATATTAAACTGCGTATCTACAACAAACACATACTTATGCAGAAGTACTTCTCATTAAATTTTAAGGATTGTTTTCAGTACACTAACATAGTTCTAGAATTATCCCTAATTACCTGTTTCTTCAAAACTAATTATAAGTAGGTAGTAAATAAGTTTTATTTGCTGTAATTAAATGTTAATTATTCAATTTTTATGGAAATTTAATTTTGGCGGCGTTTGGACCGGGATGTTCAAGTAACCAAAGTTTGAATAACAAGTTATTATTTTTAATTCGGAATATTACTCTACGACACGTTTTCTAATTATAGAATTTCCCCCCTCTCTTTCATACATAAATACATTTAGATAATTGCACTATTTTACCAACTTCGAAAATATGGCGAAGGTGCTCGTGTTTACTCCAAGAAAATCCGTTAAATTAGTTTTGCATTGACTAAATAAATATATTTACGGTGTATACACGTTATAAAACAACTGTCTTTTCTTTAATATTAGCGCGAACACAACATACTCAAAATATTTTATCTCTGAGGGTATGCACAAAATTATAGAAATAGGAGGTTAAAAATACTTTGTAACTAGGATCTACCACTTAATTTTGTACCAATTTTGAATACATAATACTCTGAAATTTAAATTTAAAATTATTTTATTCTGCCAAGTGCTCTAATTTATGTCATTGGGCAACCAAAAATGACATAAGTGAGTGGCAATAACTGATGCACAAAAACGAAATATAATTTGTACTA